CTCATTTGGGTCACAGGATAGCTGCCTCTTTATTCACAGAGGCAGATGAAAGGCATGAGATGATACTAGCTGCCAACAATTCACTCTCTGACAAATGATCTCTCCACCCCCCCAGTCCCTCCAAGTGCTAGAGGTCCTGAATCAGGTCCCCCCCTTCTGAAACCATAGCTGGAAAAACAGAGCAGTTACTGAAACACCACGGGCTGCTGTATTTCTCTCTGCTTTCTGATTTCCAAGGCACAATTTCAAACTTCTTTTGCTCAAAGAATAAACAGCAGAGAGGTGTTTTTAAAAAAGAAAGCAGAGCCTGTGACCTCCTCGTTTGGCTTCAGGAGTTTGGAGGAAAAGCCCCCGTAACTGAAGGCACCGTGTAGCTGCAGCAGAGCAGCCCACCCGGCCAGCTCCCGCTCCTTCACTGTGCGTGGGCTTGCCAATCTTTTTATTGTATTTACAAAGACACTCGAGGTTTGGGAATTCCTTGGTGAGCACTTTGTATGAACGTGTCTCTTCCTGTCGGCTGCCTGTGAGCGGCTCCCTGAAACCACGGCTGATGTCGGGGAAGGACCCGCTGGGCAAATCTGCTCCCTGTTCCTGCTCGGAAAACCCAGCACCTCCCTTGCAGAGCCCTTAGTGCCCTGAGGAGTTGAGGATGTGCAGGATTTGCTTTAGTCTGCGATGAGCAACTCCCTCACTGCCCTGTGGGTGGGGGAATCCACCAAAATATGTCATGCTCTCACGGCTGGCCGACCGACTGAAGCAACTGGCATTTCTGTCAGTCCTAGATAAGAGGGAGGTCACTGCTCCGTCTCCTCTGCCCGCTGCCTCCCTGTGCTGGCACTCCCGGGTCTGGCACAGCACCACGAGCCCTCAGAAATCCCTCCGAAGTGCGGGGAGAAGACAGTCATGACGCAGAAATGGCCTAGCAGAAATGTCCACGGGAAGCGTTGCCCTGGTTTTGTTACAGAGAGATGAAGCAAAAATAAGAGCGAAGGAGCTGCTCTGGCAAAACCGATTGCTGCAGAAGAGGCGGGAGAGACGCAGCCCTCTTCCAGGCCGGGACTCCGGCAGCCGGGTGGCACATGGCGTATCAAGGCCAGATGAAATACGGAGGCAGTTCTTGAGGGTGCACCTGCCTGACTTTTTCATCTGCTTGGCAAGACGAGGTGTCAGATGTGGGAGCTACGTGCAAGGCAAGGAAGCGGGGTGGGATGGCACAGCTCCCACCTCCAGCACTGACACTCTCTTTGGTGAAGGGAAAACAGTCTCACGGCAGCAAAGATGCACTGAAAAGGTCGTTTCTATTGTGGTGGCTGCTGCTATTGCAAAAGACGGTGAGCTGCTGGCTCCTCCCTCCGGGGTGAGATACAGGCGAGATGACCTCGCCATGGAGGGAGAGGAGAGAGCTTAAAAGGTCGGAGAATAAACCAAGCATTAAAATTGCAGGCAAGTCCAGGCTGGTTTCCTTGAAGGACACTAGAGACATGGTGCTTGACTGAGCACAGTAGACACTCCCAGAGCTGATCTCCCGATACCAACACAATCTTTCAATATTTCCTTTCGCTTCTGCAGTGGGCTGAAAACATCTATCTTCTGAAATATTTATCTCACCTACTTCTTCCAGTAGAGATCAAAAGGAGTGTGAAATGCACCTGTAACCTGATGGATCATCTGGTACCTTCGGTAACTTTTAGCAGGGGGAGGTGCCAAATCACATTTACGTCTCCAAGCCCAAGCTCTAAAGGATCAGACACCAATTACCACAGATAGGCAAAGGGCACTCACTGGTAGAGGTGACAGGCACCTCGTGTTACCTACAGCATAACGGGAGTACTGAACTCTCCTGGGAAGAAACTTAGCACGAGTATTTGAACACTAGGATAGAGGCACTGAGAGGGTGAGATATACCCCATGTCCCTCGGAGTGGGAGAACAGGCGCTCGGTGCCACCGTGCCTTTCCGAGCTCGAGCGGGTCAGGGACAGCCAGGAGGCCACTTCTCCCACCCCGAGTGCAGCGTTTTAGCCGCGCATGGCTCACCTGTGGACTGGGACACTGGGAGTGCAGAGCATTAACTACCATTCCCGCTTCTTGCAACATCTAGGTCTGATTCCTTTCTGGATCGTACCTGGTATTACTGCTTGCACCCAAAACACTCCTAAACTAGTTGTCTGCCCAGCAGCTTTCCTGCAGCCTCCTGTCAGTGCTGCGCCTGCCCTGTACAGTTCAGGAAAACTGACGGTAGTCTCTGACTGTAGCCTGACTGTCCACAAGCAGCAGAACAAGTCGGCTTCCTGCAAAACCCATGCACGGAGCCTTCAAGCAATGGCGGCAGGAGAGGACACACAAGTCTCTTCCCAGCAACAATTTAGCAGCTATACATTATCAGGGTGAAGTTCTCCAGCCCAGCCTCAGCTGACTGAGCTTCCTCATTCCTTTCAAGGCGCCCAAGCAGTGAGCTGAACTGGCAGCACCCCCCTTGCAGCAAACATCTGCAGCTTTGGCTTGTGGGGAGCAGCTGAGAACAAAACCGCTTCCCCAGGGAAGATGAGGTCCCCAAAGCAAGGGCATTGCTTAGAAAAGATCTGGCTGACACGGGTACATGCAGACTCCCCACATCCCAGCACAGAGCCTTGCCCCATCCAAACCTCCCTGGAGGGCCTCATGTCATCAAAAGTGTCTTCAACATTATGGTTTCTGGCCAGCAACCCTCCCAGTTCCAGTGAGGTCTTCAGGCCAACTTTGCAATCCCTGAGACATTGAGACAAACCAGAACAGCTTTCCCAACCATTTTGCTCAGTATTAAATTCAGTGACTTTTAGCACAATCGTTTATTAACTGCCAGCACTCTACCTGGGAGTACGGTACATGGCTGGGAGGGAAATTAACTGTTCCTGCACCTGCAAAGTGAAGGGAAAACATTATTTCCTCCAGATTTGTGTGGTAAGGCTAGAAAGCACAAAATCTGAAAAATTCAAACCAAGCAAGAAGTCAGCAGTGACCGTTCAGGATTTAGCCATGTCCCTTACCCTGGGGACTTCACTCTGCATGAGGAACTAGGCAGGAAGAGCCAGAGCCCCCTGAGACAGGAGCTGGCAGTCCCAGAGACCCCTTCCTTTCAGCAAACCTGTCTGCTGCCCTCCTCTGACCTTCTTCTGCTTTGCCTAGCTCCCTGTGAGTCTCCCAGGAAAGCCCCGCATAATGAAATTGCCCGATTCCTCCAGCTGTTCCCCCATTACCCACCCGCCATGCCAAGGCTGCTGTATTTCCACCTGCCACTGAGAACGCGGAGAGCGCTTAATGGATTATGGCTGGGTAAACAGTAAAACGGAGCATATGCGAACACTGCGGCCTCCCCCGTGCCTGCCGTGCTCCTGCTCATTAGAGGGGGCGAGGTCTGCTGGGCAAATCTTTCAGGGCCTGAGGCTGCAGTGCCGGGCGTTCCTGGACGCAGCTCAGACTGGAGAGCCTGGCTGCATTGAGGGGGACTGGGGAGGGCAGAGGCGATGAGGATGGATGGACCGAACCCGGGAGCTGCCGCCGTGTATTGACTTGTGCTCACTGATCTGTTCAGGGACCCCGGGAGGAGCTGGCTGGAGGGGGGCTGCTCGAGTCCCGAATGCTTCTGAGACAGGAGAGAGGACAGGGCTCTCTGGATCAGGCTGTAAGCGACATGCGACAGCCAAGATGTGTCTCAGAGGGGTAGGCATGGGGACTGAGCCAAAGAAGAGGAGAAGCAGCCCGCCTCCCTGCATACTTTGTCCTCCAGGGCTCCTCAACCAGCACATCAACTCCTACATTTTTGTATCAACAGACACATAATGGTTTGATTTCTCATTCTTTAAAACTCAGTGCTCATTCAACAGTTTCACACACAAACAATGTAGACACAGGAATGTACACAGAAGTATTAAATGAGATAGATCTTTATTAGAAGCTTCCAGCATATTTTATCTGTTCTCCTCCTCCACAAAACTCCTCTTACTGGATATACAGCTACTATAGTCCATATAGAGCCTGTACATCTCTCTCTCTCTCTTTACTGCTACATATCTCACTGTACAATTGCACAGTGTGCTCTCTTATCAGCAATAATACATGGTCTTCAGTACAATCCTACACACATTAAAATTGCATGGCACTCTGCATTACAAGGAAAGAGCTAAACCTCTCCTCTCTGGTTTCGTAAGAAAACATTGCCACAGACCGTTCCTATAAAGCTCACAGGCAGATCCGCACAGGTATTCTGGGCAGATTTCCCCCAGTACCTTTGTGGATCTGGTCCCCAAGTGCTTAACAAATCTCACATTCTCGCTGTTATCAGACTTGGGAGTGAAGAAAAACTGTCATGAATAATGCCCTTGAGTGATCAGGAAGGCACTAGAGACAGGGAAGAAACTGAACCACGTCCTTTTCATTTTTCCCCCCACCTTCCGTTCTGGGTCTCCTCCAGCCCTCTCCAGCCTCACAAGGTTACACACTCAGCCACAGCACCTCCTCACCCGACATCTCCTCCCCGCCAACTTTATGTCCCTAGGATGGGAGGCAGCGGAGGGACCAAGTGATATATCTAGACCCTTCACCTGGTGATTGTCAGAGCCAAACATGTGTATGTGCCTTTTCCTCCTCTCCAACATGCTCCTGTCCTCGTCAGGGCTCTTTCCTGAGGCTTCCCTGAGCTCAGCCCCTTTCCCTGCTGCCCCTGCAGCCCCTTTCCATCCTGCGCAGCCTCCTGCAGGGCCCTTCCCGGCTGCCCCTGCCTCTGGCTCTGGCTGCGTGACACCTGCCCTTCCTCTGCTTACAGGGGCGAGGTGTGTCCTTGCAGTGGGTGCTCCTCACCTGCAGGGACAGACACCGCAGCTGCAGCTCTGGCTCAGCGGGGCTGAGGCGGCCACATGCAACAGAAACACCGTCTCAGCCTCCTGAACTGTTAGACTGAGCCGTGACTTCTTGGAGTGAAATCCAAGAGGATGAGTCCTCCTGCGGTGAGCCAAACCGGTCATGGGAGACCTGGGCCTTGCCAAGCGAGCGGCCCCTTCATCCCTCTTTAGCTGCTGCCCAGCTAGCCGTGCGCAGCCAGCACATGCTTAGCAAAGCACCATGTTTGGACAGAGACAGCTCTTCCCCAAAGCTCTCTCCTCTCTTCCTTCACAGATACCCCAATCCTTTCATAGGAACGGAAGCACTTCCCCGGTTTCTTCTGCTCTCTCCTCCCTCCACTACCTCAGTGCCTTCCTTTGCCACCACGTGACTTCAGCAGGGAGGACGGACAAGCAGCGCCCTGGAACAGACACTGTGACTACTCCTAGGAGATAGCACAAGTATGCAAGAAGTGTACAAAGAAAGAACAGACCCAGCCCACGCTGGGCTCCTATCCTGTCCAGTACAGGTACAAACTGCCTACCGTATTGTAAATGACTATCACCGGAAGGATCCTGCTTCCTGTGACATCCTGCCCCATTTAGGGATGGGTCCAGAGAAGTCTTGGTGCTGGGATCCAGGCTTCTCACACCGCCCAAGAACAAAATCCCCAGCCTCTGCCTCCACCATCCTCGCCTGTCCTCAGGAAGCACCTCTGGTGTGCGCTGAGCCTAGGTCCGGGGCTGTCCTTCTCTGACCTGCCTTCGGAAGTAGCGGATGGCAGAAAGCGTGCCAAAACTTGCCAGGAACACTGGAAAAGAGGCCAACACATTTCCAGAGTGAGTCTGGGTGCTTCTTCCAGACATGAAGATCTTTTTCCAAACTTGAAGATCACAAGCTACTTGGCTCACTCTGGTCCATGGGACCTAGGGGGGTCGCTCCCCTCCCTCTCTCAGACCCCTTCTGCCTTTGCTCTTCATCCCCACCACACTGTGCTTGTTCCCAGTGCGTTCAGTCCTGAGCTGCCCACAGCCTGGCCGACCACATCTAGTCCTATAGTTTGGGCGCACGGATCACACCACCATTTCACAAGAAACGTCTGTTTTTAAGGGAAACACAACATAGACTTCATGCGTGTGGTAGAGATGGGTGGTGGTTAGATATACAGGTTCATGTGGAGATCTAATGGGTCTAATCTCAGATGAGAAGGCCACAGTAGGAAATCTCACCAGGGCTTTAGGACAGTCCCTTCATTTTCTATTTCTGTTTGGACCAGGAAGATGCCAAGAAAAATATCATTTTGTGGGTTATCTGTGGATACTCTGTTCCCAGCCAAAAGCAGAAAATACCCAAACCCCAGAATCAGAAAACATAGAGATACAAAAAATAACTAATCGAGATTATACAGAGAATCAAGCTCTTCTCTGTACTTTCAGCTAATGTTTTTAGCTTGTCTTATAAGAGAGGTCAAATTCCCCTGATCTGTTCCCAAGCAAAACTGGGAACCCAAGCCATGCCTTTGGACTTCCCAGTTTAAATTCAGACTTGACTTTGATTCACGTGTTAGAGCCTGGGACATAGACAGGGAAATTCAACTTGTTAGAACCTAAAATGCCGAAAGACAATTGCTAGTCCAGGATGTCAAACTCTCTCTTGCCTCCCCTCCTCGCCGGGGTGCTTACTGCACGCTGGGTTATGCAATCCTGAGGGCACGAGGCCCGTATCCCGCTTTTCGCACCCTCTCTGAAGCCACATCTACCATCTAATACTAAGAAGGCAAGGAGGAGCAGGCCAAAAGCTCCTTGTGATGACTGCGCTGAGCAACTTTAGCTAATGAGCTATTCTCAGCCCGGGGTGTCAGCTTCCTGTGTGACCTTAGTGGGGAACATTCCTCCCCCGGACAAGCAGCAAGAAGCCCTGGCCCCGGCGTCTCGCCCCGCGGCGGGGGCTCTCCGGTGCCCACGGGCTGGACCCCGCGCTCAGCTGCTGCAGCCAGGGCAGGGCTGCCGCACTGGCTGTCCCATGCCCTGCTCATCCAGCGACCCGTACCCCTTGGGCCACAGGTCAGCTAATTCGTGCTGCCCGCGCTTCCTCTCTCCCCACCAGTTATTCAAATGCTGTGGTTGGAGAGGAGAGGAACCGACAGAGCGCCGTTTACTCGCAGGACTCGGTGCACCAGGATAATACTTCAGCTAAGCTGTATTTAGAAAAAAGATTATACCTTTACAGCACGTTAGAAAAATATGTGCATTTGCTCTAGCTGAGGTGACGAGTATAAACCTGCATACTCGAGGTCCTGATTCAGGTTCTAGCCAGCACGGATCCTAAAGAAACCTCTCTTCCCCTGACACACTGGTACTGGTCCCTGTCAGAGGCTGGATGGATCAGGGCCAAAGCTAGGAATACAGACTTGTCCTGTGGCTCAGTTCAGGTCAGCAGTCACTTTGTGTGGGGAAAGGACAACGTAAGTGAGTAGGAATCAGGACTGCCATTTCTATAGGAGAGAGAAGGTATTAGAAAGTAACAGGACACTTTGGAAAAGCAGGCAAATGACTGCATTTTCCCATAGGCACTGTTAGGTGTGTTAGCATCCCTGCCTTTCTCCCTGCCACATCCTCCGCAAGGTCCTTCCCACCCCTCTCCCGCCAGGCTGGGCACCATACGTACTGGTCTTCCAGGCATCCGGAGCCTGCAGGTCAGAGGTCTTCACCGCCCAGGATGCAAAGGCACAGAAGACGAGGCACATGTCTTTGTGGGTCAGCGCCAGCGGAGCCTCGGGCCTCCCTGCGAGAAGAAGAGCGCGAGGCTTGGGATTTTACGACGCCTCCTCTGCCACAGCAGGCTCCAGTCCCTTTGGGGCAGTGAGTCCCTTGCGCTCCCAGAGAAATACATCTTTGTCACACATTTTTCCTCCCAGAAGACCTTTTTTCACCATTGGCCAAGTCAAACATGTCTAATTAGGACTCAGGTACGTCTCCTAAGGAGAGGGGCACATTTTTCACCCCCTCAGTTTTACACTTTGTTAAGAGCCCGAGGCAAATATTTGTTAATGCTGGAGCACGCTCCCATGGGCCTGGGAGGCACAGCCAGCAGACGTGCCACCTCCAGGACCTCTGACTGCCTCACCACCTCCCTGCATTTCTTCCTAGTGCACCCCTGTGGGGTGGCTGGAAGCGGGGAGCAGATTTAGGAGAGAGCATTTCCTGGGCTGGCTGCCGATGCACGGGGACTGCAGGCAGGCCCCTCTGGGCAGGGTCGCCTTCCTGCAAGACAATGCCCCGAGACGCACGCAGCTCTAGTACAACGCATAGCCCCCTGAGAAGCACCAGTGCTCAGCATCTCTCCAGAGATCCCACCTCACTCCCGCTGCCTGCTAGGACCAGGGAGGGAGACAGCCCTGAGCGCTCTGCATTTCGTTCTCTGCTGGAGTTCCAGTCTAGCACAACTTGAAGACATGTTGCAAGAGTAGGTTATTTTTGCTCCTATGTTTATCTGATCAGGCTTTTAATTAAAGCCGGCTTATTAATTAGCTATGACCATGGCAAAGGGTTTTTTCCTCTGTGCAAACAGACTGGAAGCTCTATTTTGAGGCACCCTTTGGGATGACTCATTCATTGTTTGATTTTAATATTAACTGTGAGGCACTGTGGCTGTAAGCATCATACGAGCTTTAAGATAAATATGCTGGCTGTCCTAGTGGGTCAGACTTGCCCTCCCTTTATTCCTGCTTCTCTTACCTGCCTCCAGTAACAGTCAATGTTCAGGTAACCTCTGAGGTCTCTGGAAGGTGTTTTCAAACTAGGGTGTGTTTTAAAGTCCCCCTCATCTCTTTCAGCTGGAAGCCTTGGACATGTTCCACTCTGTGCACACCTTTTCCCCCACCAATATTAGATGGATTAGCAGCCCAGCCTTAACAGGACAGCAGCTCAGCAGCCATCGCCTTATCTCAGGGGCATGAGTTCTTCAGTACAGAAGGATTCTGCTGCTTTGCCTCCCATTCCCTCATCAGAAATACAGGTATGTGGTTCCGCAGGCAGTCGGATGACACTGGGATGGGGGATTCCTATCTCTACCAGACCTTGCAGCCATGTTTAACACAGCTATCCACTTCAGTAAGTTTTTCTTGGCCAGAGTGCAAAAGAATAGATTAGATCCACAGTAAGTTATATCTGTTCAGGGTGACAACTGAATCACCTAGGACAGGGACTTTGGGCCAGACTGAGTTTCAGCCTGTTGCATGCATGCTATCATGACCACCTTTCCCCCAGGACTGGAGTTTGCAGGGAGCAAAGCAAGTTATGCCCAGAATATACTCAGATCCCTGTCCGTGCCTCCTGCAGCACCGGGAGCCAGCCTGTGGGGCCTGGCCAGCAGCACTCGCTTGGCATAGGGACAGCGTGAGCATCACAAGAGAGAGCCAATGCGACACAGCATGTCATGGTGGTGGCTTTAGCCACGCTTCCAAAGATCCCTGCTAAAGCCCAGGGCTGCTGTGTGGCAAGGTAACGTGCCAGGAGTGTGATTTCAGACCGGCTACACCTGGGGGAGCCCACCAAAATGCTCCCATCTGTACGGTGGCCTTAACGCCGCTGCGGCTGGAGTGGAGATGGCGGCAGCAGGGCCCGAGCTGGCTGCCAGGCTTCCCACGGGGCGGTGGGAGCAGGGGAGACCACACAAGGCAGAGGCACATCTCTACGCGCGGCGGCGAGCGGGGGCTGTCGGGCAGCGGGCAGGGGGTAACGGTGCTTTACCTGTCAGTGCAAGGGCCATGTCCAAACCTTCTGGCCGCGCCTGGCCTCTTCCCAGCGGAGCCAGCGGGACAAGGGGGAGCTTCTCTCCGGATCCTCTCCGCACGAGAGCCTGGGGGCCTGGGGCTTGGCCTCTGATGAGATGCATTGGCCTTTGCAGAAAGGACTTCAGAGCCCCCACAGCTTTCTTCACCTCAGAGGCTGGAGTGATTGAGAAAATCCCTGTCCAGCCCACCCTGTTCCCAGGCCTGTCTGGAAAGAAATGTTCATACACCTCAGGGACCGAAATAACCAGGGAATCTTTGACTGGAGCCGAGTCAGGATCCTCATTTTGCAGTGGAGCGTGGTCCAAGCTGCTGAACTTCTTTCGCTTCCTGTCTTTACCCTTGACTTTTTTCCTGTTTCCTTCTGGTTCATTGAAAAAATATTCATACAGTTCAGGCAAGGATATTTCCCTTTCCAAGGGTGTTTTCTCTCCCTCTATTGAGTTCCCCATTCCTTCTTCTTCCCCTTGGGAGTAACAGAAAAAATAGTCATACATCTCGGGCCAAGTCACGTCTAGGGTGTCTGCCCTTGCAGAGGCCTCAGCTGCAAAGCAAGGGGGGCCCAGCTCCCTGGGGGTCTCAGCTGGAGGCTCCCCATGAGCTCCCTCAGCAGCATCCCCTCCAGAAGCTGCCACGCTCTTGGGATGGAGAGGCTTCCCCAGTGCCTCCTGGCATGCCGCTCCTGGTGGAGCCACGGCTCCGCTGGCAGGGATCACCGGCACATTGTCACATATGCCCAAGCCACCAGCCTGCCCTGGCTTTGAATGCTTGGTGGCCTTCGCCTTCCCCAGGGGCTGCGCCCCTGGCTCCTTCACCTTCTGCTTCGGGGGAGTGCTCACGGCTGGATCGCTCTCATCCGTGCCAGGGCCGGGCACCAGCCATTTGCTCTCCCCTGCTTCCTCGCTCCCCAGCTTCACAGGAGCTGGCTTGGCTGCCTTCTCCTTCCCTTTGCTCTTTCGTGAGGACAGTGGTGAACTTAAACGTGCCTTCACGAGTACGCCAGTCCCCTGTGCTGCAGCCCCCACAGGCTCCCTGTCCCCCTGGGCTGCCTCGGCGGCACTGGCTCCACGTTGCTTGCGGCTCTTTCTCAGCTGCCCTGGCACCTTGGGCCTCACAACCTCTGGG